CCGAAGTGAGGACACACATCGGGCTAGAAGGCGAAGAGAAGCGTGGAGTCTGCGATTAAACGGTCCCATGCAAATTAGGTGCAAATCTCTATGTCAAAGCGAACAGGATCCATCTGAAGCCTCCACTTGGCGCAGGATGGCAAGTTGAGCCCCACCCAAGCCCAGCTTCTTACCCGGCTGCAGAGCCCAGGCGCGGACCCCAGGTTCGCGCTCCTCCCTTTGGTCCTCCTCGGGACAATCACTCTCTGTCTTGGTACTCCCAGGCCCTAGGGGAACTCTCTCCGGGGGCTGCCGGGACAGAGTCACTGTAAGGAACCCCCTCCTAGGCTGCCTTGACCTCCCCCTTCCCCTCTCCCTGCTGTCAAACTGCACACAATTCTGAAGGGTTCAACAAGAACTTGCTTGGCCTGTGGCCCTTATAGCCGAACTTAGGGATCCCTGCGACCGACTGACTGCTCCATATAACTTTTGTTTGCAGGTAAACTGAATCGCGGAGTGCACTTCTCCTGAAGTCCCCTAAAGACCCCCGACCCCAACGGCGGTCCCTCCTCCTTACCCCCTCCTGCCCGGGTACGGCGCATGCGCGCAGCATGCCCCCCATGACCCCCAGTATCCGGTCAGTGCGGCCAGGGGTGGGGCGGTCCGGGGGCTTCATGCTGGACCCCTACCCTGCTTCAGGTTTCAGGGCCGAGGGGCTACGGAAACTGGGGGGCTCTGAGGCCTGCGTGCGTCCGGGGAGTTGCTACCGCCGAATCCGCCCCCCTGCCCGGCTCCGCCCCGACTCCCACCGCAGCCAAACTTCGCAAAAAGGGTAGGGTTGGTCCTTTCTCCACAAACGGAGTTGAACAACAAACAAACCCCTCTTAATCCGGATTCCATCCATCGGAGTGTGGCCTAGGGCTCTGCAGGGTTATTGCAGCGCCCCGCACTTGTTCCATCCTGTTCCCCAGGGTCCCAGGAGGTAAAGGGGCTGTGCAGGCATGCGAGGATTCCCATTCCCCCATCTCCTTCTCAGCGGGTCCTGCTCCCCACCTCCACCCTGTCCAAGGAACAGAGGACGGGTGTGGCATAGAGTTGCATATTTTACTTTATTTTTATTAAATTAAAAGCTACAGTCTGGCAGCAATTCCAGAACAGGGTGAGGAGGCTCCTTATAGGGGCAGAGAAGAGCGAGAGAAAGACTGACAGACAGACACAGGAGAGAAAGGATCCGTTAAGGTAGGACTACTGTTATCTTAACACACAGCTGGCTGGGGGGGAGCGGGAGGCAGCTCATATCAGTCCAAGGTGAACCAGTACCGTATTCAGGGGCTGGAGTTGAAGAGACCTCCATCGTCCCTACCCAGATCCTTTCCCAGCTCAGTGACTGGAGCACAGTACATACCAGGAAAAGCCACAGACACTGGAGGGGCAGGGGGCAGAGAGAATATGTACACGGGGAATGCAGGGAGGGGAGCCTGGGAAGCCAGCCTCTGCCGGAGGGGAGTGGCTCAAAGGGCACTGGAGCACTTGGCCAAAGGGGGGCAGGGGAAGGGACTGTCCCCTTCCCCACTGAACTCCCACCCCAGTCAGACAAATCCCCTCGTGGGTGGTGTGGGGGCAGAGAAAGAGAGAACAGAGGCTTCTGTTGGATCCCAGTAGAAGAGGACAGCAGGGGCCTTGGCAAAGGGGATGGTGTCCTTCAGTCATCTGTGATACCCTTGGCTCTCAGTTCCTCTTGCACCCTAGTCAGGTAGGTGGGGTCCGGATACCCAAACCTGGGGCAAAGAGAAATGGGGGTCGGGGTTAGCTGGGTGGACTTGTTCATTAATACCCACCCTCATTTTGAGTGACTCAGTAGAGGCCAAATTCAGACCCCTCCCCAGTTCCCATGAGGAGGGAACCTCCAAAACCAAGATAGGCCAGAATCTGCAGGCTTTTTGTTTTGTTGCAGCTGAGTACATGGGGACTAGGATGAAAACAGAGTGAGGGAGGTGGGTGATCTCCAGTTAGGAGACTCCCAGCGGAGGGGGTAGATGACTCTCCCAGAGTGGAAATGGAGAGAGGGGAGGGAGCAGGGGAGGCAGATGAGGAGGAGGCGCACAGCTGGGGTCCCCCTGTGCAGCTGGTCTTGTGGTGAATGTCGTTCCACGTGATGACATTGGGTCTCCCTGTAGTCATGGACGTGCCGATGGTGAAGGTGAGACGTTGGTCAAAAGCCTTCCGGAACAGGGTCAGCACCTTGTTGCCCTCGGGGCAGTCCGGGAGGTAGGCCACCCGTGTGGTACCAGGATACCGAACTCCTGGGTTCGGGTGTTCAGCCTGAGTGGAAGAAGAGACAGAGTAGGCGGAGGGCAGCTGGCCACCTCAAAGGTCTGGGCACCAGCAGAGGGTCATTCTGGCCAGTCTTTTTGTGCATTCCCAACAGACCCACAGCCTTCCAGGAAAAGATGGCTTTGGGGTCTGGGCAGTAAGCCTGTTTCTGGACATAATTCTTAATTGTTAATCCCTCAAGTCTCAATTCGGGAACAAATGGACTCTCAGAAGCAATGGAGGTTACTTTCCAGACAACTCAGCAAAAATTCGACAACAAGAAAAACTTATCTTTCGGCATTCCCTCTACCTATAATACTAATGCTTCTGCCACTGCCTCGTGTTTCCATGCTTCCGTTTCTTCCCTTCAGTTCCAGCTGTACACAACTCTGTCCAACAGAAAGACGTTTACCTGCAACTCTAGTCGAGCGTTTATTGTCTCATACTCTGGAACAGAGTGGCACCCCAGCGCTCGGCATGGCCAGGTCCCTTCCTTCCTGGTGTGCCTGCCTGTATCTGGGTCACCAACTCCAGACTTTCCCTCCACGGAGAATGCCTGTCATAGCCACATGAGTCCAGCTACTAGTGTTCAAGCCTTTCTGTCAGACATGACTTCGAGGTTTTTTTTTTCCTTGTTTGATTTGGTTTTCTTGGGGGCAGGGATTGAACTCAGGGGTCCCCATCTTATAGAGAGGCGCTCTACCACTGAACTACACTCTAACCCCCATTCTTGAGTTTTACATTTGCCTTTGGGTCATGGTGATAAAAAAGCTGGGCCTCAAGAAGACAGCCCCCGCCCCCAGCTCCAGAGCACCAATTCCTAAAGCATGCTGGGAAACAGCAAGACTGTGTCAAGTCTAATGACATACTCCCCGAATAACCTATTTTTCTTAGGTCAGAAAGTGAACTAATAGGCAGGGAGAACTGTGCTCTTCTTACCCCCTGGACACCGGGCGGGAAGACATACTGGATGACAATGGTGCCGTACTTCTCATAGCTGGGTAGCAGGAGGGTGGCATCCTTGGAGACCAGCATCCGTCCGTTCTGGGGCTGGTTGCCCACAAGCTGCCCATAGAATCGGCCACACATGGGGCAGGCTTTTTTCACCTGCAGGGCCCGTGTGATGCAGCCCTCGCAGAATGAGTGCCGGCACTTCTCCAATGTCTTGGCATTCTGGATCTCCCCCAGGCAGATGGGGCAGGTGCTTTCCTGTTCTTCAGCCTCCTCCCTCAGACGAGGAGGAAGTGGAGGGGGCAGGGGGGGAGGAGGAGGGGGGAGCCCTCTTGCCCCTGGAGGCAGGAGTGGGGCTGCTCGAAGAGGAGGCGGACCTGGGCGGTGCAGCTCAGGGTGCTCCCCACCACCCCCCAGAGCCAGGCAGCCCATGAGCTCCCCCTGCCTCTGAGCTTTCTTCAGCTCCTTCTCAGCCTCTTTCAGTAACCCCTTGAGAGCCTTGCGGGCCAGGTAGAGCCCATTGGGAGGGGCTGGGGGAGGACCCTGTGGGGAGAGCTGGAGCACGTAGATGTCAGAAGTCTCCCCATCTATGAGGATGGACACTCGGTGCTCCTCCCGAAGCCGGGCCAGCCGGGCTGGGGTCTCCTTGCTCAGGAAGTCCCACACAGGCTTGGAGACAGTCACTTTGTTCTTGCAGGTGCCTCCACAGGCTGCCATTCTGGACAGGACGAACGACACTGCCCCCAGGGTGAAAGGGACTCAGCGTGGGGAGTGTCCCCATTTGACACATATAAGTGCTTCCTACTCCAGGTTCCCTCCAAACCTCACATCACCTCCTGTGTTCCTCAAAGCCAACCCCCAATACCTCCTGCAAACTGTTTTTCTATCACCCCTTCTCTCCCATAGTCCCAGCACTTGCTGGGGAACAAGAGTTTCTATATTTTATCATTATCTAAACCAAGCACCAACCTTACTTGTTTCTTTCATTTCTCCCCTGACCACCAGCAACCTGCCCCTTCCCCTCATAGAAAAGAAAAATAGGCTTTTCAAATGAGAAGGGAGACTTCCCTCCCCTACTTTTTGCTCACTTTGATCCGGAAGAGCTTAGGATTGGCATGCAGGCTCACTCCTTTTCCCTGCTACTTGGAGACCGTTGGCCTAGTGGGATGAGAAAGAAAAGGAAGTAAGAATAGGTTCTCCAATCCCCACAGGCCCCAACTCAGTAGCCTTTGAAACAGACAGGAACCTGGAGTAGTGTCCTGGGCATGGGAAGAACATGAACTGGGCGTCCCCTGGGGGTGCAGGTACCTGAAAAGACCATGGGAGATGGTGCAAGTCTCTCTACTTCCACATTGAGCTGACCAGAGCTGGGGATGAAGAAGGTAGAGAGTTATGATAGCACTTCCTCAGTCAGCCCAGAAACAAAACACTTATATCGCCTCTCCTCCCCTGCAGAATTCCAGGCACAGCCTCTCAAATTGCTCAGGAACTTCACCAGACCAGCTCCCCACCACCACCAACCCCAGTGCAGAGGAAGAGAGATCCTAGGTTCAGACAAAGGCCCTGGGGATGAAGCCTGCACTTGCCATCTCCCTCAGATTGACTACACTGACAGAAATATTTCCTATGTTCCTCAACTCATTTCTTTACTCCACATTCTCAAATAAGTCAAGTCCCTGTTGTTGACGGGGGACCTTTCCCTGAGAGCGAAGTCTGTTAGGGATGCCAGCAAAGTGATAGCAGTCCCTGCAATAACAAAGTTCTCATTGTCACCTTTAAACCCATTGCCTGCAGAGCTGTTGTCAGCTCTTGGATCTGCATTTAGGAGGGGCAGGGCTCAAGCAGGAGCTCAGCTAGAGGGCCCCCACGTTTTCCCCCCTGAGTCCTGTCACATTCAGCTCCGGGGCTGTTCCCACAACACGAAGTGCGGCTCAATTAGGAAGAGGGGGCCATTAACAGTGACCTCAATTCCTTGACTCATCCAAAGAAGAAGCCGCTGTCCCTCAGTGCCTTCATCCTAGGGCCCTTAAGATGAAACTCTAGAGTCCCAGCCCACATGGCCCGTGCACCGTAGCATGCCCCCACCCCGGCACAGAGGACCCAGGATCTCGGTGTCCTAGCTCCAAGCCCTGCTGGCACAGCACAAGGAGGCGGGGCCACAGTTTAGTCTGGTCTAGCATTCCTCTGAGGCAAACCAGGCCGGACAGGAGCCCAGTGACTCCCTCCGGGCAGCGGCCCCAGGCAGGGACACCGAGAAAGGGCGAGGGTCCCC